TTTTTTTTTTTTTTATGAATAAACTCTTGTTTATGAATCCACTTCCAATAGTTTATCACAATTTTTGTTCGGCGATTTACACGTTCAGGTTATGTGCGCGACAATATTGACTTTTTTGTATTGTTATTTTATTGAATTTTGTTTGATTCGTTTGTTTTTTTGTGAAATGAAAACATTCTAAAGTCTTAGCCAAGCAAACATATCAGAAGAGAGAAATATTTTGATGGCTTATCACTGAAAACAAGTTTACCAACTTTTGGAGGGTATTCAAATCTTTAGTTTCTAGGCAATGCGTGCTCTGTTTTGGTTCTTCAAATCAGGGCCGGCTCGAGGTAGTTTGAGGCCTAAAGCTACAACTTTATATGAGGTCTTTTTGCATTTTTCAGATAAATTTTACTTGTCTCGTTATTTAAGATACAAAATTATTAGTGATTTTTATGGTATTGCTACCAATTGATAGTATCACATACTTCATTTTTCTTGTGACCTAGTCAAACTAGTTTGATTTATCAATTTGAATTCTGAAAAACATATTTTCATGTAGCAACTAATATAAGTAATATCAATAATAAATTGTAATCAATATATGCATTCGAACAATAATATAATTGATGCAGGGGAAAGGGGAATGCTGAATTCTTACAATGATTAAGTCAAAAAATACAAATTTCCGCGGAGAAATTAATCAATTCATATTCATAAGTCTAATTCAAATAATTTGGATTACACCATTATTTATAGGACAAGTGTCCTATCCAAATAAAATGTACTCTAGCGAAAACTCTATCTAAATTTTTTAATGAGATGAATATTAGCTAACCAAATAATCTAATAAATAATATAAATAAATAAAATTTTAATCTTCAATTTTATTTCTATCCAATCCCTTTAGGATCCTTATCAATAATCTTCCTCCATAATTTAGTATGTTTTTTAGAAGTCTATATCTATATAATAAAGTACAATACAATTCAAATCTCAAAAGATAAACAAAATGACTTTTGTTATTCGTGGTTGAGATCGCTTTAAATTTTACTTTAAAGTTAATATTAACTCCTCAAATTTAATAGGGAAAATAAGCCCCTTAGAGTTTGTTTGGAGTAATTTTTTAAAAATACTTCTAGAAATTATTTCTCATAAGTACTTTAAAAAAATAGTATTTAGAACCGTTCCACCACTACCTCTACCACCACCACTGCTTCACCATTACCACCATTGCCACCACCCCCACCATTGTCGCTGCCGCTGTCACCACCATCACTATCGCCACCCTGCCATATCCATCGCCCCACCACCACCATCACCGCCGCTCCAACCACCTTACCACCACCATCACCACTTCCATTGTCACACCACCACCATAACCACTACCACCACCGCCCACCACTGCCACCATCACCCCACCATCATCACTATTATTACCACTATCACTACCGGCCCACCACCACCGCTGCCGCACCCTACCATCATCACTACCGTTGTCGCACCTTACCACCACTACTTCTATCCCACCATCACCCCTACCACCCCCACCGCCCCACCACCACCCCCATGACTATCACAACTACCACTACCATCGTCACCCTCATTATTGCTACTGCCCCACCTTCACCCCCACCTCACCCTCATTGCCCCACCGCCGCCACCACCACCACTACCATCGCTACCCACCACCGATTGCTACCTTCGTTGTCCATGGCCACCACCCACCACCATCGTCATCTTATTCCTATATTTATTACCGTTACCAACATCATCCCACTACTACCATCGCCCACCGTCAGCACTCACCATCACCCATCGTTACCCACCATTGCCACTGTCATCTACCTCACCACCACCATCTGTCATTGCTCATTACTGCAGCCACCCACTGTCATCTATCCCCACCACACTTACCACCGCCACCATTCACCATCACCCATCACACTGTCACTTAAAAGCAACCATTGTCTCCCACTACCACCATCATCACCGCCCACCCCAATCGTCGTCGTCCCACCATCACCACTGTCAACCACAATCACCGTCGTTCACCACCAGCGACACCCATCACCACTATTGTTGCCACCCACGGCTGCCTCTACCATCATCGTCACTCAAAACACACCACTAACATCACCGTTGCCACCCACGACTGCTACCACCACCACAGTCATCACCTTACCCACCACAACCATTACCGTCTCCCGCCATCACCATTGTCGCCCACCACCGCTCACCACCAATACAATCGATGCTTAAATTTTTTTATTTCTCCTCTATGTTTGTGATTTGATTTTAGATGTGAATACAAATATGTTGACCATTTTTTTTATTACTCCGTACCTTCAAGCACAAGGAATAACTAGTAATTCAATTTGTTGATGAGAATATATATTATTTCGGTGCCCAAAACACACACACACATGGATGGAGGGGGTGGTTGATGGTGCTTTTCAATTGGTGTGATTTACATGATTAGAACACTATTTTTCTTACAAAAGAAAAAATGTAGTGAACACCATTCATTTCCTTGATCACATGTTGTTAACCTTTTGGGCCTAACCTTGTATTTTTTACGTTGGCCTTAGGTTTTATGAGACTTTTTTTGTGAAACTTACATTTTTATGGAGACTAATATTTTGATATGGAATACTATAAAAATATATAAAATTTGGGGCCTTTTTTAAAGTTGAGGCCTAAAGCAATGGCTTTCTTGGCCTATACCTGCAGCTGGCCATGCTTCAAATTGATGGAGGCTTGAGTGTTCTCCACCTTTGGCTGACTTGGCTCAATAGGATATGGCTAAATGATGACAAAGTATTCTGCGACTCTTCTTCTCTCATGTGTTCTATTCGGCTGTTGTCAACCCTTGGGTTGGGTATCCTGGGAACACTGTCTAGGTTGGGAGGTGAATATTTGGGTTGCCTCAATTGAGTTTTCCTTCCACACAATTGTTGCCAAGAAAAAAAATTCTGTATTGTGGAATGCATGGCTATGTTTTCTTAGACATGATGTTTAATTTGGTTCAAAGTAAGTTTTAGTCTCTCCCTCTCAAAAAATGAGCAACACCCAATTTCATGGACTAAAAGGTGTATTCCTCAAAAATGTCTTCCTTCATTGCAGTCCATGTGTAATATCTATGAGGCCTTCTTTTGTGTTACTTTTTTTACAATCAGTCTCCTTGAGCAATCACAGGTTGTCCTATTCTCCTGCTATAAATATAAGGGTGTCCAGAATCCAAATCCCATTCTTGCTGTGATGAAACTTTAGAGAGAGAGAGAGAGAGAGAGAGCAAAGCATCTGTAGCAGTTGTTATGTAAGTTCTGACTCTCTTCAAGTATCTGAAATCATACTAATTCTTAGTTCATGTGTAAGGCACAATCCCTATTGCTGTACAACTGTACATATGATATTTAGTTGTCTAGATTTAAAAAACCTGATTCTTTGGACAAGGTATTTCGTTTGCTGGTTTAGATGAAACCTTGTTTTTGCAGTGAAATTCATGATTTTCTTTGCAGTAAATACATCATTTAGTGATTTTTATCAAAACTACTTTGTAGTTTTCTTTTTTATTTCCTACACGTTCCCTTAAAGACTTAAAAGGGATTCATTTTACTATTACCTTCGAAACTTACCTTGTTCCTTTAATCATTTTCTCTACAGCGTTGACCTCTTGTGATTGTCTTTCTGCAGTATGTGATGATAGTGTTGAAGGGTTCTGTACCCATGTCATTTGGTGGAACTGAGCAGCCAACAGCGTATGGTGAGTTGGTGTCCATTGGGGGCCTCAACCCTGATACAAACAAGAAGCTGAGTGCTGCTATTGCCAGCATACTTGAGACCAAGTTGTCCGTGCCTAAGTCACGGTTCTTCCTGAAATTTTATGACACTAAGGCAAGCCATCTCATGTCTCTGAGTCATCTTTAAGATGTTTCCTTGCCTTGCACTTGTTCAACTCATTGCATGCTTGCTGTTTATTTAGGCCCATCAAAGTCAGGAATATACACAATGTCTACATGCTTTACACCAGTTATAGATCATGTAAATTCACTGTTTTAATCATGAACAATGCCTGTATCATCTTTCTGTTATCTTAAATGATTTTGTTCTTGTTCTTGATCTTGATCTATATGCCTGTCTAGTGTAGGAGTAATTTCATATAATTTTGTGCTACTTTTATGGTACTGATTGCTTCATTTATATCCACAGGGCTCCAACTTTGGATGGAATGGGTCCACCTTCTAGATTTCTTGTTTCTTTTTTTACTGCTGGGAAACTATCTTGAACTTGTGAACTGGATGTCTGCATGGAACAAAGTAATCTTATATCTACGTGGTAGTTTGTAATTATTACTTTTGTGATGATACTGGTATGTTCTTATATCTGTGTTCCAACTGAATATGTTGAACATCGTTAGATGCCTCTCTTTTATGCACCTTTCCCCATCCTTACGGGTTGTTTTTATAGTCGGGCTGGCAGTGTGGAAATGCTTGGATATCTTTGTTATCTTTAATATATATATATAAGTTATGAGATGGAAAACATGGCATACCTGTGATGGTTTATTATGATTTACATGAATCCTGTCTACTATTTGACTGTGGTTTAGATTTGTCCAGGAAGATGATTATTGTTATGCATTTCATGGTCCTTGTATGGATATGTTGCACAACTTAGCTGTTTCCCTAATTATTTCCCCATTCCGGTGAACTTTGCCATAGAGGATCTATTTGAAGTGAGGAAACCTTTTGAAGTATAAAAAATGCAATGTCCATGTGGCTTATTAATAGGCATATTTTGAATGCATTTTTGTTCTCACGACTGTTGCACAGTAATTTTTTCTGTTTTTCTATATTTTCTTTTTCCAATCGGAGCATAGAGAAGATCGATATCTTCATGGTTTTGCCTGGTCATGTGCATCATAAATTTTCATGTCAAGTAGCACCTGTCTCAATTGCATGCTGTCCCATGAAAACGTCTCTATTTTTCCTATACATGGTAGTCCTCTTTTGAGAACAAAGATATGTGATGTTGCAGCTTACCCTTTTTGTAAAGAGGAAGTTCGAGACTCGCCCGTTTGAGAAGGGAGACATGGAGTATTTATTTGTACATACTTTTGCATTGGCTGTTATCATCATGTCCATCGTATGGTCTTCATCAATTGTACATATTCTCCTATCACGGGAGCCTCCCATTAGTGTGGAGCCATCTGATAGAGGTAGAGGGTGTTGGGGAGTTTTCGGCCAACTGTTATGAATATCGAATCCATGTTGGTGTTTTGGACAGGAAAATGGCGATGTTTGTCATTCAACCGGCCATGAAATTGAACGAGAAAAATGACAGACAGAAAGAAGTTGACTTTGTCCAAGTAAGAAAAATAGTAGTTTGTGAAGTTTGGTACCGAGTATAGCATGCTTTAATCCCCAAGCGCTGGAGTTGAATAACATAAATATACACTCTTAGCTTGCTGGCTCTCTCACCTCATTAATCCTGGTCAACGAAGCAAAAGCAGATTGGATATTGGAAGAAAGGCTTCTCCCTTGGGAGACGGTGTCAAAGCGTCTATTAGAGTCTATTGCATACCTTTAGTAAAAAAGACGAACGATAAATTCAAATATCTATTAACATCTCTTTAAGATTAAATTATAAAGAATTTATCTTTAGGAACACTTTAATCCTAGCCTCGGGACATTCCTGATAATTCCATTAGTTTTTTAAGAAAAAAGAAAACAAAAGTACAGGCCAAATGAAACCGCTAATCTATGTGGAACATGTATTGATTTCTAAAGATATTCGATTAAATATGGGTCGGATTAAATGGTATAGTTATTTCTTAAAGTTTCTACCTGGACCCGTATATCTTAGTAGAGAAAATTTAATTATTAAAAATATATATTTCCGGATGTGGGGAAAGCAGTATTACTGCTAACTAATATAAGCTGGTCCAAATAGTATTTCCTGACGTGGGCAAACCAATATTACTGCTAGCTAACTAATATAATATTTTTTTCCAATCAATTTCTATTATTAGATCGGTTCTTAATGAAGATGAAATTAATAATTGATAAATTAAATTAAATTAAATAATTAAAAAGATTAATTATATTGGATGTCTCCAAAGTATAGAATTTATCTCATTTTGTATTTAATATTTTAATAGTAAAATTTTAATTCCTAAAATATTGATTATGTTTCCACGTGGTTTTTCAGGTAGATAACATTCAGATTGCTATCGATTTTTTATCATAAACTTATCACGTAATATTTAAATATGGTAAAAAAAAATAATTTGAATCAAAATTTGGATAGTTCATAATCAAAATTATATAATTTGCATGATAAATTTATGATAAAAAAATTATTAGTAATTTAGACACTGTCTGCATGAGAAGCCAAGTAAAAATATATTCAATATTTTAAAGATCAAAATAATACAATTAAAATATTAAGGCTAAGATAAGATAAATTCTTTATTTTAGGGACTTGGGTGCAATTAAATCTAATTAAAAATTCACCCTTATTTTTTCAGATATCCACCACCGACGATATTTCCTTGTCATTTTTCCATTCATCACCATCGTTCGTTGGCAACCTTAACGAAGAAGGAAACATCTCCGATCTCCTCTCTCTCTCTCTCTCTCTCTCTCATGTTGAAATAATACCCCCCCCCCCCCCCCCCCCCCCCCCCC